ATAGTTGTGGGGCAAGCTCAAGCTCTGCGGGCGGGTGTATTCGTTCATAGTTGTGGGGCAAGCTCATAGTTGTGGGGCAAGCTCAAGCAGCAATAAGCTCTTTTAAGGCAGCTACTAGCGCAATGTTAAATGGTTAGTTTTTCACAGAGGATCACCATTGTTAGACAAAATGCTGAACAATTTTTACCCAGGGAAGCAAACTGTAGTTAACTTTTTCTCTCTCCTACAGTTGAGGAGTCTATTATGTGATTTTGAATTTGTTGTTACAAACCATAACATCAAGGCAAATGCTCGGTGAGTATTTTATTTGTTTGTTTTGTTGTTTTGCTTTCTGCCACTCATCAAATATAGGAATAGGTGGTTAGCAAGAATGCATTTAAAACCAGACGAAAAACTCACATTACTAAGGAGCAGCAGTTATGGGCTACTCAGTACTATATTCCAGGGAGGGGGATCAAACCCCCCACTCAGCCCTGAAGCTCACTGGGCGACCTTGGGGCCCCGTCACTGCCTCTCAGCAGTCTAACCTACCTCTCAGGGTTGCTGTGAAGGTAAGAATATGCCACAAATATCAGCCAAGTGAGCAGGATGGGGAGGAGGCAGTGTTTCCATGGAGATCACTCATTTAAGATGGAACCGACACTTTTAAGATGCAGGTGTCGGGTGCTTAGCTGAGCAGCTAAGGTCATTGCCAGGGTCAGCAAACGTTTTCAGCAGGGGGCCGGTCCACTATCCCTCAGACCTTGTGGGGGGCAGACTAAATTTGGGGGGGGGGAGAGAATGATGCAAGAAAAAAGCCCTAAAGCCCTTGGTCCAGTATACCTGAAGGAGCGTCTCCACCTCCATCGTTCTGCCCGGACACTGAGATCCAGTGCCGAGGGCCTTCTGGCAGTTCCCTCCCTGTGAGAAGCCAAGTTACAGGGAACCAGGCAGAGGGCCTTCTCGGTAGTGGCACCTGCCCTGTGGAAGGGCCCTCCCACCAGATGTCAAAGAGAAAAGTAACTACCAAACTTTTAGAAGACATCTGAAGGCAGCCCTGTTCAGGGAAGCTTTTAAAGTTTAATAGGTTATTGTATTTTAGTGTTCTGTTGGAAGCCGCCCAGAGTGGCTGGGGAAACTCAGCCAGATGGGTGGGGTATAAATAATAAATTAATAATAATAATAATAATAGCATAGCATGGGGAGAACTCCCTTCTCTTGCGGGGGCCCAATTAGTGCCATTGCCTTCCGTTAAGAGTTTGGGTGTAATCCTTGACGTCTCCCTTTCCATGGAGGCGCAAGTTACAGCAACAGCCAAGGCAACATTTTTCCACCTTTGCCACATCAAGCAGTTGGTCCCTTACCTTTCCCGCCCCGACCTGGCCACAGTGATCCATGCGACGGTCATCTCCAGGCTTGACTACTGTAATTCGCTCTACGCGGGGCTGCCCTTGAAGCTGTCCCAGAAACTCCAGCGGGTGCAGAATGCTGCAGCCAGGCTCCTCACGGGGTCTCTGCCATGGGAGCATATTCGCCCAGTGCTTTTCAAGCTGCACTGGCTCCCGGTGGAGTACAGGGTCAGATTTAAGGTGCTGCTTTTGACCTTTAAAGTCCTTCACGGCCTAGGACCCTCGTACCTACGGGACCGCCTCTCCCGGTATGCTCCACGGAGAGCCTCAAGGTCCATAAATAGCAACACCCTAGTGGTCCCGGGCCCTAAGGAAGTTAGATTGGCTTCAACCAGAGCCAGGGCCTTTTCAACTTTGGCTCCGGTCTGGTGGAACGCTCTGCCTCATGAGACCAGGGCCCTGCAGGATCTGATTTCTTTCCGCAGGGCTGTAAGACAGAGTTGTTCCGCCTGGCCTTTGGCTTGGAGCCAATTTGATTCCCTCCCTCTCTTCCTTTTTCCTTTCCTTCTCCTCCTGCGATGAGGCTACATTTTAATATTTTAATGTTTCAATATTTTAATGTTGTATTTTAATTTTGTTTTTAAGTTGTAATCATTAAACTTGTTTTTATTATTGCTTGTAAGCCACTCTGAGCCCGGCCTTGGCTGGGGAGGGCGGGGGTATAAATAAAATTATTATTATTATTATTATTATTATTATTATTATTATTATTACTATTATTATTATTACTACTACTACACCATGAGCCCCGGTGGCTGCTTACCTGTGCCTTGCAAGCGGCAGGAGCTGGCAGTGGAGGGACGATGAGCGGCGCGTGAAAGGGCTCTGGAGAGGGGCTGCTTAAAATGGCGGCCGCTGGAGCGCTGCTGCTGCTGCTGGCACCAACAGAGGCCAGCCCCCTTCCTCCTCTAGGCAGGGCGGGGAGAAGCCAGGAGGAGGGAGGGAGGAGCCACAGCTGCCGCCACCAAAGGAGGAGAGGGAGGGAGAGGAAAAGAACGAGTGCGCTGGCGATCCACGTGGACGATTCCCGGACCATCCGCAGGCCGGATCCAGAGGGCAATTGGGCCTGATCCAGCCTGCAGGCCTTAGTCTGCTGACCCATGGTCATTGCCTTCACAAAGGAACTAGTTTGGCTGCTCCACCAGGTTCCCTTATACACCCTAGCCTCACAGATATAGATCACAGGTTTTGGAAGGAACCCAGGGTTTCATCCAGACTGGACCCCCCCCCCAGCCCATAATACTGTGCAGGATTGCTGAGCGTCCTCCCCTCCATATTAATGTTTGCCTCTTTTTCTTGTTTCTGTCTGTCCTGTTCCCCCCACCCTCACTGCTTTTTGATCCAGAGTCCCTATTCCACAAAGGAGGGAGCGCATGAGAACTGGGGTATGTATGCATTTTATGCACCATAGTTTGCACAAAGCCTCTTCCCCTTTCTCCTTCTTACGTAAAATAGTCACTTGGGTGTTGTTTTCCTCTTTTCTTCAATCTCTTCTTTGCATCTCATGCTTTTAGGAAATTAGTTCTCACGGAGTTCTGGCGCCTGAAGGGGGGATTGCCATGGCAGCAGTAAAGGATGCGCCATGGCAACTGGTTTGAGGAGGTTTAATGGTAAACATGTCTTGCTTTTGTACATTATGCAAAGATAAACAACGGTGGCCTATAATCTTTTACGCAACTGGTCCAGAACAATTCAGCCTGTCTTTAATTCCCTGCCACTTCCATTGCCATCAACTATGGCCAACAGTAGCCAGAACGGATACATGATGCTTCCTCATCCTGCTGCTTTCCAGGTGTTTGGAACTATAACTCCCATCAGCCCCAGC